ACCAACATGAGCTTGATGTCTTCGTTTTGTGTAGCTCCTTGATGACTTGTCCTTCCTTTCCGAATCCTTGCTTCTCTGTGAGGGTCTTCGTTCATATCGATCATCCCTACTCCTTCTCTCCCTTGATGGTGATTCTTCTCTCCTACTTCTTCTTTTGGGGGAATCTTCTCTTCTCTTGTGGGGAGCCGTACACTCATTGGAGTAGTGTCCTGGTCTTCCACAATTGTAGCAGTTTCGCTCTTGACTAGAAGATCTTTTGTCATTGTAGGACCTTGACTTGGAACTTCTTTCCTTGCTTCTACTCTTGTAGAATTTGTTGAAGTTCTTCACCATTAGGCTCAATTCTTCATTAAAGCTTTGTTTCTCACTTGATGATGTGTGGGCTTCACATGAGGCTTTGTAAGCACCACTTGACTTGTTATGGAGCTCCTCCTTATCCTTGAGTGACATCTCATGAGCAACAATTCTTCCAATGACTTCCGTTGGCTTGAGATCTTTGTAATTTGGCATCATTTGTATCAATGTGCATACGGTATCGTATTTTCCATCCAAGGCTCTTAGGATCTTCTTGATGATGAATTTGTCGGTCATCTCTTCACTTCCTAAGCCGGCAATCTCATTTGTGATAAGAGCAAGCCTAGAGTACATTTCAGCGACACCTTCACCGTCCTTCATTTTGAACTTGTCAATTTGATTTTGAAGCACATCCAACTTGGATTCCTTGACGGAGTCGGTACCTTCATGCATGTCAATCAAAGTATCCCAAATTTCCTTTGCATTCTCAAACGGCTGATTTTGTTGAATTCTTCAGGGCACAATCCATTGAAGAGGATATCACAAGCTTGAACATTGTATTGTAGCATCTTCAACTTGTTTGCGGTAGCTTCACGATTTGGTTCTCTCCCATCAAAGAATTCACCTTGCAAGGCAACACACACAATAGCCCAAACGGCGGGGTTATGTCCAAGAATATGCATTTTCATCTTATGCTTCCAACTAGCAAAATTAGTGCCATCAAAGTAGGACCTCTACGGTGATAATTTCCCTTACTAGAAGCCATACTCTCCTAGGTTGTGAAACCAAGGCTATGACCACCAAAATCTATGGAAATCAAAGCAAATGGAAACCAAAGCTTTGATACCACTTGTAGGATCGAAAGTATGTCTAGAGGGGGGTGATTAGACTACTTGACCAAATTAAAATCTATCATTTTCCCAATTTTAGTCTTTGGCAGATTTTAGCTATCTTAGCACAAGTCAAGCAATCTTAACACAATTCAAGCAAGCATGCAAGAGTCTATGAGCAGCGGAAAGTAAAGTGTGCAACTTGCAAGAATGTAAAGGGAAGGGTTTGGAGAATTCAAACGCAATTGGAGACACGGATGTTTTTGTCGTGGTTCCGATAGGTGGTGCTATCGTACATCCACGTTGATGGAGACTTCAACCCACGGAGGGTAACGGTTGCGCGAGTCCACGGAGGGCTCCACCCATGAAGGGTCCACGAAGAAGCAACCTTGTCTATCCCATCATGGACATCGCTCACAAAGGACTTGCCTCACTAGCGGTAGATCTTCACGAAGTAGGCGATCTCCTTGCCCTTACAAACTCCTTGGTTCAACTCCACAATCTTTGTTGGAGGCTCCCAAGTCACACCTAACCAATCTAGGAGACACCACTCTCCAAGAAGTAACAAATGGTGTGTTGATGATGAACTCCTTGCTCTTGTGCTTCAAATGATAGTCTCCCCAACACTCAACTCTCTCTCACAAGATATGGATATGGTGGAAAGAAGATTTGAGTGGAAAGCAACTTGGGGAAGGCTAGAGATCAAGATTCATATGGTGGGAATGGAACATCTTGGCCTCAACACACGAGTAGGTGGTTCTCTCTCAGAAAATGTGTATTGGAAGTGTAGGTATGTTCTGATGGCTCTCTTTCGAATGAAGAGTGGGTGGAGGGGTATATATAGCCTCCACACAAAAACTAACCGTTACACACAATTTACCAATCTCGGTGAGACCGAATGGAGAAACTCGATCGGACCGATTTAGCAAACCTAGTGACCGTTAGGATTTTTGGTGGGACTGAGATGCAACTCGGTAGGACCGATATGGTCAGGGTTAGGGCATAACGTAATCTCGGCGTGACCGATTACACAAACTCGGTGGGACCGATTTTGGTAATAAGCTAACCAGAGAGTTGGTCAGGTAAACTCGGTGGGACCGATCGCTCATTTCGGTGGGATCGAAATGTTACAAAGGAAAACAGAGAGTTTACATTGCAATCTTGGTGGGACCGATCGCTCATCTCGGTGGGACCGAAACATTACGAAGGGAAACAGAGAGATTACAACCCCATCTCGGTGTGACCGAGATCCCTATCGGTGAGACCGATTTGCCTAAGGTTTGTGGCAGTGGCCATGACATCTGAACTCGGTGGCGCCGGATAGAAAGAATCGGTGGGACCGAGTTTGACTTTTAGTTTAGGTCATATGTGGATGTGGGAAGGTAGTTGAGGGTTTTGGAGCATATCACTAAGCAATATGAAGCAAGAACCTCATCAAGCAACACCTCATCCCTCCTTAATAGTATTGGCTTTTTCTATAGACTCAATGTGATCTTGGATCACTAAAATATAAAATGTAGAGTCTTGAGCTTTGAGGTTGAGTCAATCTTTTTGTCCTTAGTATTTTGAGGGGTCCACTTTCCTCATCCATACCATGCCATTCATTGAGCTTTTCCTGAAATATTAATCTTGAAATAGCATTAGCTCAATGAGCTATATGTTGTTAGGAATTACCAAAACCACCTAGGGATAGTTGCACTTTCACCCGCACATCTTCGTGCCATGCTTTGACGCCCTGTGTATGCATGATCCCTGTCACGACGCACTTTAGACTTCTTCAAGCCTTATGCGCCGGTCTTCGCCATAGATACTCGAAGCTCCTGATCATACTAGACCGGAAGAGAAAATATTCGTGCAAGACATGACCCCGCTGGATCCCTTCTCTACACAATTCCTTCTTCTTATCTTCCCATGAATTAGCTTCTCCACGTATCAGCAAGCCCTTTTTTCCAAACAAATATCACGCCTTGTGTCCTCCTGCCCGCTTGCTTACTGTGGCTCAGCCCCAAAGCAGCCACCAACCATACAATCGTTGTGCAGAAACAAAACTGCAATCAAGATGTAGTCCCTGCAGCCCGTACGTGTAGCGAGAGATCAAACAAATAATTAGCACACTCGAAGTCCACAATCTGCAACACGTCGTAGCTTTCCAGACTAGTGCTCTTTTGCTTCCTTTGTTTATCCAGCAACCTCATGATTAACATGGCCATCCGTGACACTAACTCGGCCGGTGCACATACCCAGCTTGCATGTCAGCCTCGCAGACGCATATGGCCTTCAGTCCACGGGGCATGGACCTTCCTCGGCTTCACACAGGCCAGCCCCACCTAGGCCCGCCGTGCGCTGCACTACGGCCTTGAGCCTCTGGCTGCCCTAGCTCTCCACGCGTGAGACACGGCGCTTGCACACTGCCTCGGATAGTATCGATCCGATCTGTCGTTGTTTTCTTGCCCCACACGCTGACAAGGGTTGCCTGCTCCCCGCCGGCGCTGCCAATCGCACCTCACCGAGATGTATGTATGCTGCCCCTCGATTGCTTCTCGCACAAACAGAACTCCCGTCGCCTCCATCGATCTTTTCCAGCCGCATGACTCGACCGCCAAATTAACACCCGGAACCTCAAATCAAACCCTACTCTGATACCACTTGTTAGAATAAATCTGAGGCGCTCCGTCGATCTATTGAGGAGTAAGCAATCACACAAGCACCACCATCGACGTCAATTAGGTGTTATCGCCACCACTTTTCACGATCCCAGCAACCGCATGCGTCGGGAGACGACAGCCGTCATTATACAACCATATTCTCTACGTCAAGTCATTGTCCATAAATTGCATCTCACTGATACTCCCAAAGGCCCCAAATGGATTAGGGCTGCACTCAGCCATCGACCACCTTTGGAGACCATCGGCCAAAAACCATGACGCCCGCCTTGCCGCCGCAGCTGTTGTACACGAGGAGGCCAGATATGGTCATTTCCCACACCTACACACCATGCCACACCCACTCCTCCATGGGCCAACGTGCAACACACATAGATCCATTGTGACCCGGTGTGGAGCAGATGAGCAGCCGCACCCTAGGCTTGAGGCTTGAGGCGAGCAGCCGCCGCCGCAACCGAGGCGAAGATGCCAGCAGGGACAGCTGCAGGGGAGGAAGGAGAGTGGGACGCGAGTACGCGGGCTGCCCGGCCGCCGCCGTCAGCCTAGCGGCCTCTGTATGGGAGAGGGTGACAGGTTTGCAGAATTTCATTTTCGCATATCGTGGCAACCGTGCTCTGTATGGTACTGAAAAGAAAAGAAATGCAGAAGGAACAACTTTTTTGTGGAACTTTCTGTTGCAGGATGGTAATGGAACTTTGTTAAAGCGTGGCAATTGGCAAAACAATAAATCGAAGGTCACGTTGTAGATCTGCTGGTGTTGCAAACACGAGGTCTCCAACGCAGTTTCGTAAGGAAGCTTAACGGGTAAGCAAGTTCACATCCCTCTGTGAGGAGTGACGACAACTGAAGCTCATAACGTTACTGAAGAACAGCAAGTGAAGAATACTTTACGATTTCTGTATTAATCCACTTTATTCCGACTCTTTATCCGTCTCGTCCCACCCTATATAATTCCTCCGTACTTAATTCGTCGGCGGCCACTGCAGCGGCTCGAAGACGATCTATCGACCTTCCGTGGCCGGCTGCCGCGCATTTTCGTCGCCGATCATGTCCGCCATCGTCGTCCCCAGCCCGGTGCCGTCCCCCTCCGACGACGCCGAGGGCATCAGGAAGGCGCTCCAAGGCAACGCTCCTGCTTGCCGGGTTCAAGTCTCCTGTTGCTGCATTGCTCGCTTGCAGCTAGCTGACATGGTGATCTCGGCGCGTGTGCAGGATGGCGGGCGGACAAGGAGGCCCTGGTGCGCATACTGGCGGGGAGGACGGCGGCGCAGCGGTCGGCGATCCGCCGCGCCTACGCCTTCCTCTTCCGGGAGCCGCTCCTCAACTCCTTCCGCCAGCGGCTCTCCCGCCAGTACTGCCCCGTCACCGTCGACTTCTGGGTACGGCAGCGCACGCACGCATCTCACCGGTGAACTTCGAAAACCGCGACGCGTTTCGTTTCTCTGACGGCGTCGCTCGCTCGGCTCTCTTGTTTCCTCAGAAGGCGGTCATCCTGTGGACGATGGACCCGGCGGAGCGGGACGCGAACCTGGTGCACGGCGCGCTGCGGCGGCGAGGGGACGGCGATCACCTCGCCGTGCTGGTGGAGGTCGCGTGCGCGTCCGACCCCGACCACCTCGTGGCCGTCCGGCGCGCCTACCGCTCCCTCTTCGGCTGCTCCGTCGAGGAGGACCTCGCGTCCTGCGCCGCGCTCCAGCAGCCGCTGAGGAAGATGCTGGTGAGCCTCGTGAGCTCCTACCGCTACGGCGGTGACCGCGTCGACGCGGACGTGGCGAGGCTGGAGGCGTCGCAGCTCTCGGAGGCCGTCCGGAAGAAGCAGCCGCACCACGACGAGGTGGTGCGGATCCTCAGCACCCGGAGCAAGCCCCAGCTCCGGGCGACGCTCCGGCGGTACAGGGAGGACCACGGCACCGACATCGTCGAGGACATCGACAGCCGCTGCAGCAGCCAGTTCGCCAGGACGCTCAGGAGCGCCGTCTGGTGCCTGACCTCGCCGGAAAAGCACTTCGCGGAGATGATCAGGGAGTCGGTGGTGGGGCTGGGGACGTACGAGGACATGCTGACGAGGGTGGTGGTGTCGCGGGCGGAGATCGACATGAAGCAGATCAAGGAGGAGTACAGGGCCAGGTTCAAGACCACCGTGACCTGCGACGTCGTCGACGACACCTCCTTCGGCTACAAGGACATCCTGCTGGCCCTGGTTGGCTGCGAGGAAGAGTGAAGTAGCAAACCTGGAGCGGTGCAGTCCATGGTTGTGGGATGCGCACGAAACAGAATGAGAGACTAGTCATACCACACCTCCGACGGGACTCCGTTGTCTATCAATGAATTCGTATTCGAAAGAAGTTTTCAATTATATAATTTTTTTCCTTCGTCGCAGTTGGTCTCGTTGGTTAAATTTACGGTCAGAGTTAGACCCCGGAAAGCGCGGGCGCACTATATTTTGAAATGAAGGGAGTATTTTTTATTGTACGTTCTATGTTTATTTTTTGTGTCATGATGAATACATGTTGTTTCTACATCTTCATTATTTTCCTAGCACGTGTGTAACCTTTTTCAAAGTGTTTTTTGAACCATTTAAACTGACACTAAATGATATTTCGAGCCTGGCACATACAATTTTTTTTGTAGCCACAAATTCATATTTTGAAGTTCCTTTTTTTCTGAATACGCAAGATTGCGTACCATTGCACTCATAGGGAGAGTGCGAAGCAATTACAAGGTGCAACCCGCAAAACCACGTACACAGCCTGATGCGGTGATGAGTGCATGAGCAGAACAGAAGTAGAAGGGATGTTGGTTGAGTCCTCTAGCTCCAGCTCTAACCCAAAGCCTAGCCTCGTGTTGAATGGCTTGGACAAGATGTATATATAGTGGAGGGCCACAAACCATCGAAGATGCGTTCGTCACTGTGCTTCCAAAGCTACTAACAGTCGGTAGGGTGAGAGAGGAGACCCCCTTACACAAGGTAGTGGGAGTGTGGTCACGCAATAACACACATCAATCCTGGAAAGATAGCTCCAGGCTAGGAAGGTTAGCATTGGTGCGACACCAAGAAAGGCTCTCGTGCCACACTTGACGAGAAAAGAAGCAACCAACAAGTATGTGTTGCGTGTCCTTGGTCTTCATGTCGCAAAAGGACGCAAAATCAGCATGAGGGAGGCCCCTGCGTGCGAGGCGATCAGCCGTCCAACACTTGTTCAGAAGGGCGAGCCAGATGAAGACCTTGAAGCATAAGGGCCCAAGTCTTCCAAGTGAGATGCCGGTGGGGTGCTTCAATAGCGTCGATGAAGAACACGTTGTAGCCAAAATTGGCCGAATATTCCCTAGAAGGGTCCGATGATGATGGGAGGAGCGATGTCAAAGACGCGACAACGGGTGATGCATTCCGCTCTTCTCCGGTGTGTCCACGAGATTGCCTCACATTGTTTGTTACTATGAAGCAGAAGGTGCGGTGGCGGGGCCTCGGTGGCGTACGATGACAGGCAGCTAGCAGGTGGCCTACTCGGTGATCTCCTGCAGCGCCCACCGTGCCTAGTCCAGCTTTGCGTTCACCATCGTAATTGGAATTGCGCTGTCTAGTAGCATGTGACCGAGTTTTTGCGCGGATCTTCATAAAACTCCACATGACCTCTACAATGTGAGTTGAGTCGACGATCACCCACAGTGAAGTTGAAATTGTTTGCTCAAGGTTTAGGGATGGCGATCACGCCTTCTAGGAGAGAAGTGATGATGATGATGCCTGGGTGCTGTCTCAATGAGGCCCTCTTGCAGTGGTGTGTGTGGTATTCTTCGTGTACAGCTTAGCGGTCTGTGATGGTTTTTGACAGCTTTCATAATTAACTGGGGAATTCTTTAGTTTTCCATGATTTTCTCTAATTAACTGGGCAATTATTTTCTTCTGAATGAATGTAGGAATCTTGTCATTTTGTTTTTTTTCATCCATACTGTGTGTGGTGAAAGATTGAATTTGTTTCAAGAAACACTACGTGGTTGTTTGGTTCTAGACCTAACCATGCCACACTTTGTCATATAATGGTGCCATACTTGCCTAAGGTTAGTTCTTTAAAATGAGAGCAACAAGTTGGCCAGCCTAAGGAAATCTTGCCACACTTTGTATGTGTATGTGATGTAGGACCCTAGTGTGGCTTGCCTAAGATGTGGTTTGAACCGAACACCCATCCAAGTTGGTCAAACTTGCCTAACCTTAGATGTGACAACCTTAGACAAATTTAATCTCAAACTAAACAGCCCCTACAACTACTAGGCTGTCTAGATAGAAAGGGAGCCTTATGGTGCATTAAGGCTACAACTACCACTTGGGGTAGTTTGTAAGTGGGGTGATCCGGCCGTGTATGGCTGTTGATCCCACTCATAGTGATTGCGTCAGGATCTTTGCATCTTCAAGCCGGCTCAGACATGATGTGCACTGTTGGGTGCGTGGTCCAATTCGGTTGACACACATGGCGAAGGGCCAACGGATTGGCACTGGTCTCAGTCGATTTTGCTAACATTGTGGGTATGGGGAAGGATCGCGTGCCGCTTTGTTTGAAGCGGTTCAGGGCATTCATCATTTTAGTGATCTATAAAACGTCTTATTAGGGCCTGTTCGGACTCCCTCCCCTCCGCAACTCCGCTCCAGAGCGGAGCGGCATACAACTTTAATCTGGGAAGTGACTAGAACGGCGCTCCGCAGTGAGGGAGTGGAGGGTTGCCGAACAGGGTCTTAGTCTGCAGAGCAAGTACAAGTGTAGACCCAATTTCAAATAGAGCGATTTCACATGAATGAATTTCATAATTTTTTTCCTATGATGCCATTTTAGATAATAGGATTGGCTTTATAGTTCATAGAGAAATCATTCATTTTCTTTAAATTTCGGACGATTCTAAACGTTCACCTGAATGCCATTTTTTTTTCACTTCGTTTGAGAAGTTCATTCTAACATGTGTCTTTATTTGTCCTTTTTCCCCACTCTCTCGTAAGGAAACAATTTATTGCGAAATTTTCATGGAGCATCCGAATAACTAGTTTGTACAAATTTTACGTTACCAATATGGAAGAGGCGACATACAATTTTCAATATGTAATCGTGCGTTCCAAAGAGGTTAGGTACGAAGTGTGAATTTATTATTGAACCATCAAAGGTAACACGACGAGTCCAAACTCGCCACTGTTTGTGGGGCCCAGGCGTCAGAACCTGGTAGCGGTACAACGGGAAAAAAGAAAAATGAGAAAGTAGATCCGACCTCCAGCAGACCAGCACCGGCGCGCGGTGGCACCCAGCTAGTGACATGTGGGCCCCCAACCCGACGACCCCCCTCACAAAATTTCACGCCTCCCGCTCCCGATTTCGAAATACTCCCCACTCCTCTTCCCCCCTTCCCATTCCCAGCCCGAAGCCAAACCCTCCGCGCCTCCGCCTCCCGCCTTCCCCCATTCCTCCCGCCGGCGAGATGGCCCCGCCCTTCGTGTTCCCCGCGAGCCTGCGGGATCTGGAGCGCGACGACGACGGGG